TACCCTCCTGAAATGTGTAGTCCAGAGTTGCCGGGTTGAGTGTCTTGGGCGTTGGGTGAGCCCGTAGAAGACTTCTTGCCCTTGTTGTCCATGACTGGTAATCGATGACTCTCTTGATGTGCTTGACTGTAGGTTGAGTGTTATTGCTGGGAGTTTGGTCTCCGACCAGCTCTCATACCATGTTGGGCTGAGAAAAGCCCTTAGGATCTTTTCAGAGACGAAGTCCCACTTGAACACGGTATTTGAGTAGTGCAGCGGAAATGTTGAGTAGTTGAACCCTTGCACTAGTATGTGAGAGCAAGTGATTGATAAAAGAAGCAAGCATACAGGAATACAGTGGCGGATTAAATTGTCCACATGTTTTGCCTTTTTTGGCATTTTTATGAGTGCAGAGGCGTATACATTAAGCCTTAATGTAAGGTGTGCATTAACGCTGAGAAGTTCAGTTAGAGCAGTCACTCCAGTGTTCAAACACCAAAGTAGTACCACACATGGTCCTTAAACTCCTAAGCATAGCATGGGAGAACATGTGGACAATTTGTACCGGAAAATGGTATCACACTAGATTCTAGGAAAACTAGTACCTAGTCCAGCGTCCCTTTGCCCGAATCACTGCCTTGATCCTCCTCGGCAGGCTGTCGATCAGGTTTGCACACACCTCCGGCGGTATCTTGTCCCATTCCTCCTGCACCCTCTCCCACAGCTCCAGCATTCCCCTTGGCGGCTTTTCGTACTTCCCCAGCTGCCTTTTCAAGTATGCCCACAGGTGCTCAATTGGGTTAAGGTCCGGGGAGCACGACGGCCATTCCAGCACCGCGTACTCCTGCTCCCCAAGCCAGTCTTGGACCAGACGACACCTGTGCTTGGGATCATTGTCGTGCTGGAAAATGACCTCTGAGGGGGAAAGCTTGAAAAAATCGATGGTCTGTTTGAGCTCATCTTGCAAGATGCTGCGATACAGCGGCCCATCCATCCTGCCATCTATCTTGCACATGAACCCCGCCCCCTCATACGTCATGCAACCCCACACCATCACAGAACCGCCCCCATGCTTAACTGTCTGTTGGACTTGGTGGCTCCGAAGGCTGGTGCCCTCGCGAATCCAGGCGTACGCACGTCCGTCGGAGCAGTAGCGGTTAATCTTCGTCTCGTCAGACCAAATCACCCGCTTCCAGTCCTCCAGCGTCCAGTCGGCATGCGCCCGCGCGAAGTCGAGACGATCGCGGATGTTTTTCGGTGAGAGCCTGGGTTTCTTGGGCTGATGCACGGCGATCAGCCCCGCGGATCGTAAAGAGTTGCGGACCGTCTTCGAGTCTACGGCGAGATCGTGCTTCTCCAACAACATCTTGGCCGCGTCTGAAGAGCTTTTCGCCTCGCCGCTAGTAATCGCACGTATAACTCCGCGCTGGAGACGGGTTGTGATTAAGCGGGGGCGGCCGGCCGAAGGCATCGTAGGTCGCACCTCCTCGCGACTAGTCTCCTCAGCGAGTTTCATACCGTAATCGTGCACGGTGCTCTTGCCTATGCCAAGAAGTTTCCCTATTTTCCTAGTCGAATGCCCCGCACGCAACATGCTTCTGATCCTCGCGCGCTTCTTCTCATTTAACGGCTTCATAGCGATGCGGTCGTAGGCTCGCTTCCGGACTAACAACTAAGCTAGGAACTGGTGCGCGTGACGATGTACACACTGAGCGACGGGGGAAAATAGATCTACTCTTCCGCTCGGTAGGAAATGTCCACATCGACAGTCGAGTAGTAAATTTCAACCCCACTTTCCGTTAGTGTCACAATCGCGCCAAGCAAGAAACGGATGAAGCAGAACTCAAAAACCGAGTAACAGAATGGAAAAAAACGGGTGTTACTATTTTCGAAACATGTGTTGCATAACGATACGTTTCAAAGTGTTAAACATCCGGGCAATTTAATCCGCCACTGTATATAGAAAATATGGAATAAAGCTGTTGTAGAATACAGCTGAATAAACGGTTATTGAGTCGCACAACGACTCGATCGTTGGTTCGGTTACCACCCTTGCAGTCACAACGGTCAGTCGCAACCTCCGGTTGCAACCCTTCGTGTCCCTTCGTCCTTTCGTGTTCTTTCGTCCAACCTCCTCGTGTAACCTCCGTTGACTCGTGTACTCGATACGACTTTTCTTCGAGTGTAGTGTTACACTTCAGAAACGCTTAAAACCACAGGCTAAATTAGCATAGGGGGGGCTTCAAGTGAGCCGCTCTTGAAGTGGGGGCATCTGTGAAAAAATTGGGTTGCTAGAGCGAAATTGCCATTGAAATTTTTTACAAACTGGGCAGATAAGAACCCACCATAAGCCACACCTACGGGAGGATGGGCGATTTCGGAACGTGTGCGATGAGGTCCCAAACCCATGCGCGGCAGTTCCAACAGGGAAGAAAGCTGCAGGTGGGGCGTGTTCATTCTGGTGAAGTGAATCTCTTCACCCTGTTCGGAAACGTCGGGATACAGGGCGGAGACGCCTTTTGGAGTGAAATCAGCTACGAAGGCATGGCAGCGGCGTCAAGTGCGAACACGCTCGTCAGGATTTTCCAACACTTTGACTGGAAGCGCCAAAATACTCGTATCCAAAAACACCGTAACACACAGTAGGATTTTTTTTTAATTACCTATCCTAATGTATTGTTCATCACAATGGTCATAAGAAAACGAGCACTCGCAAGCTGAATGCAAGTAAATGCAAATTGTTTCTTGGTGCAGTAGGTTGTAAAGTTGGGTTGCACTCATGAATGGATGCAAAATAACAAAATTTTGTCAGTTGAATCAGCAAGACTTGCACACCATACCCTTGGTGCCAGAACTGCAGCGGATGGCTGCCAGGATGGGTCAGCAAAAGGCGGGGGAGTAAAAAACAGGGGGTAAATGCTGGGTGACTAGTAGAGGCATACAGCCACAGTAGAGCGGGCGACCAAGTGGGTGAACAATAGGGTTGAAGGGGAAACTGGTTGAGAGGTGGGGAGAAGCGATTGCAAAGTAGGTGACCTAAAGAGGAGCAAAATCGAGGGCATAAGTGAAAGGGGTAGTGGATGGGGGAAATGCTTGACAGGGTGGGAGAAAAGGGGAGGGAGGATGGGGGAAAGGATGGGATAGCGGAGCGAGGTAGGGAGGTGGGCGGGCAGCAAAGAGCAGGGGGGACAGCAGAGAGCGGGCGGGCAATAGAGAGCAGGGGGGACAGCAGAGAGCGGGTGGGCAGCAGAGAGCAGGCTCCTCTCCCTCTCACCCTGCCTCTCCTCACCCTCACATCCGCCTCTCCCCGCTCTCTCATCCGCCTTCCCTCACCCTCTCCCACACCTCGCCCTTGGTTACCCCTCTGCCACTTGCCCTCTCCCCCCTTCCCCTCGCCCTCCGTTCTCTGCCCTCCTCGCTCTCCCTTGCTCTCTTCTCGCCCTCTCATCCCCGTCTCCTCGCCATCCGTTCCCCCTCTCCTTGCCGTCCGTTCCCCCTCTCCTTGCCGTCCGTTCCCCCTCTTCTCGCCGTCCGTTCCCCCCCTCGTCGCCATCCGTTCCCCCTCTCCTCGCCGTCCGTTCCCCCCCTCGTCGCCATCCGTTCCCCCTCTCCTCGCCGTCCGTTCCCCCTCTCCTCGCCGTCCGTTCCCCCTCTCCTCGCCGTCCCTTACCCCTCTCCTCGTCGTCCGTTCCCCCTCTCCTCGCCGTCCATTCCCCCCTCGTCGCCGTCCGTTCCCCCTCTCCTCGCCGTCCGTTCCCCCTCTCCTCGCCGTCCGTTCCCCCCCTCGTCGCCATCCGTTCCCCCTCTCCTCGCCGTCCGTTCCCCCTCTCCTCGCCGTCCGCTCCCCCCCTCCTCGCCGTCCGTTCCCCCTCTCCTCGCCGTCCGTTCCCCCTCTCCTCGCCGTCCGTTCCCCCCCTCGTCGGCATCCGTTTCCCCTCTCCTCGCTGTCCGTTCCCCCCTCGTCGCCGTCCGTTCCCCCTCTCCTCACCATCCGTTCCCCCTCTCCTCACCGTCCGTTCCCCCCCTCGTCGCCGTCCGTTCCCCCTCTCTTTGCCGTCCGTTCCCCCTCTCCTCGCCAATCCTAGATCGTCCCACTATTGACGCCACTACTACTCCCGAGGTCGCCTTTTCGCGAGGCTAAAACACTCTATACGTAGCGAGGGGTGTTGTACGTCGATGAGCGGGCGGATATTTTTTTATGACTTGTGTAGTGGCAGCTATGGCTTCCTACGAGTGATAAACTACTAGAAAATGGACTTAAGGAAACCTGTTGCACACCCATGGAGCTCTTGAACGACGGGATGTGGGGTGTGGTCGCATGGAGTGCATTTTGGTTGAGTTTTGCGACTCTTGGGCTTGTCGCACCGTGTTCAACCAAAGTCGTGTACCAGCAGGGTGAGTCGTGGCCATCTCGCGATGTTTCAAACTGTCGCACTCCTTTTTTTTTTTTTCGTTTCGATTGGTACAAAGTGCTACAGGCTGGGCGGTATATTCTGACCCCCAAAAAACAGAGTTTTCAAGAGCACACAGGGTGTGCTTCTTTAGCCTGTGGTTTTAAGCCTTTGAGGTGTTTCCAACAGTAAGTAACATAACCTATTTATTCACCTTCTAACCGCTGATATCATGCCATGCTGTGATGGGGTGAGATACCATGGTGTGATAGGGTGAGATACCATGCTGTGATGGGGTGAGATACCATGCTGTGATGGGGTGAGATACCATGCTGTGATGGGGTGAGGGGCCATGCTGTGATGGGGTGAGATACCATGCTGTGATGGGGTGAGGGGCCATGCTGTGATAGGGTGCGTGCGGGGCCAAAGTGAGATTCTATAAACTCAAAAGTATACTCAAACTGAATGTAGGAGAATGTGCTGAATGTATGCAAGAGGGTTTGATAATTGGAGTCAAATGTCCCGCTGACGAATCTGCAACTAGCGAAGCGTACACGTTGTCCTGCCACTCGGCCTCTGTCCCCCTCCATCCCCACAAGAGCCACACCCTGCGCCACAAGTTCCTCTTGCCAGGCTGAGCTTCGCTAGGAGTGTCCTGCAATGGACGCGTCGCAAGCATCGCTGCAAGTGGTCGAGGCCATCTCCATTCTCTACACCGACCCCTCCCCCGATCGCAAGGCCCAGGCCAACGCGTGGCTCACTTCCTTCGCCGCAACTCCCGCCGCATGGGGCGTTGCGGCGAACCTCGTGGAATCCGCGCAGTCGATGGAGGTCCGCTACTTCTGCGCCAATCTGCTCCTTTCCAAAGCGCGATCCGATCTCCCCTCTCTTCCCCCAGACGCGCGGGCGGAGCTCGGCGCGCATCTGCTGCGCCTGGTGGCGTCCTATATGACGAATAGCAGCGTGTCACCTGTCGTCCTCTCCCGCGTCTGCCTCGTCGTGGCGGCGGTCGCGCTGCGGTCGGCCAATCAGCACGCGCTGAATGCCAGTGCGTTATTGGACGTCGTGCTCCGCGCCGCTGACGTGGCGGAGAAGAGCGAGGGGGGAGTTGGCGCGCAAGGCCTGGGGGGAGGGGGAGGGGGGAGCGCAAGCGATCAGGCGTTGGCGGTGGTGGTGGCGGTGCTGCAGGGGGTGGCGGAAGAGGCGGAGCAGCTGGACAGGCGCAACACGGAGGTCACTCTCGCGCTCATACGGGTGGGTGCTGGTGGCGGGGATTAGAGCTCCACGCAATAGTACGGGCAGACCTGCCAATGTAGCTCGCCAGGCGCAATACTAAGATTCATTTAAGACTCGTCAGGCTGGGTTATTAGGCGCAACTTAGTGAGGAGGCCGGAGAGTGCAGCGATAGATGGGTGCAGCACTGGGAGTGCTGCCACGCCAGTGTAAGGGAGCCTCCTTTGGGGGGTGGAAGAGGAAGAGACCGTGGAGACTGGGCAGGTGGGAGGCATGCAGCACGCCAAGTGGGGTTGGGCGAGTGTGACCATAGCTGGGAGGCAGGGGAGGGCTGCCATAAGGGGGAGTGCGGTCAGGGGCGCATTCCTATGGGCGCATTGTGCATGAGGGCATTGCCTATAAGGGTGAAGCTTCCCTGGTGGACTAGAGGCGCCTCCGTTAGTGACTCGTTCTTTCTGCTGTTCCCCGCCACACCATTCCTTTCTGCTGCCCTCCCCACCCCACTCTGCCACAATCCCCTCCCAATCAACATCTCCACACCGCACCACACCGCACCACACCCTCCCACCTCCTCCACTGCCTTCTCTCTGTCTCTTCTCCCTGCATGCCCCCTCCATCCCGCCCTACCCCCAGACCCGCTTCCCCGACCTCCTGCAGATCCTCCAAACCTACACGCAGCGCCACTGCCCGTCCCTCGCCACCCCTGCCCTGCCCGCCCACCATCCACCCCTCCTCTCCGCCTTCCTGCATCTGCTCCTCACCTGGCTGCACCTCGACTTCCCCTCCGTCGGCCTGCACCCAATCACAGCCTGCCAGCTCAGCACCGCCTTCCCGTTCCTCTGGCACTTTGTTCTCCGCTCCCTGGCGTCCCCCCACCCGCCTGTCGCTGCCAGCAGTGCCGATATCCTGGTGGCGCTCGTCAGCCAATCAGAGGCGCAAGGTTGGTTTTTGAGTCGACTCAAAAGTCAGCCAATCAGAGGCGCAAGGTTGGTGGATGTCTTCTCAAGTGCCAAGACTCTGCTCGTGTCGTCAGGTGGTGGGCGGGTGGCAGGCAGTAGGCTTTCTAGTGTTGGCAGTTGTGAATGGAATGCACGGGGCGTCATGGGCGGCTGGTGCAGCATCCATCCATCAATCAAATGACGGCCTTGCGCTTCCCCTGCAATGCTTGCACGCATCGCATGGATCACATGTTTCTGCCCGTTTCTGCCCATGTCTTTCCATTTCTTTCCATTTATAATTCGCTATAGTAGCTCCGTGTTTTCAGGTTCCTCCTTCCATGGCGTCACTTCTCAGCTGCCGCCCTTGTGTTCACCGCCTGCTGCCCAATCCCCTCGTCCGCCCTTTTCCCCTCTGCTGCAGCGCACCTTAACCCCCCTGCACTCTCTTGTTTTGCTCCCAGCACCGCACGCATCACCACCGCTTGTAGCGTAGTCTTGGCGGCCCTCTTGGGCGCCTGGAACGCCTCCCAGGCGCACCCCATGGTGCCTACCTGTGGCCATCTCACTCCACAGCGTCCCAGGCACACACACGGATGTGGGGCCAGGAGCTTAAAGGGGCGGGTTGGTGCAGAGGGGTTTGGGCGCCGTGGCAGTAGCAGAGGGGCGCCCAACAGCTCCCTTCTGTCCATACTTGGCTCTGCCTTTCCTCGCCTTTACCTCGGCTCACTCCCCCACTTACTCTCAGCAGCACATGCGTCAGTCATATAAGCCGTTCTCAAAGCCCTCCTGGACGCCTGGGGCAAATCTAAATCGCATATTCCTTCTTTATGCTGTCTCCTCTCTTTCTCCCCTTCCCCATCCCTGCTCTCCCCTTTGTGTCCCAGCAGCGGACGCAGCACCGCCAGTCATCTCAGCTGTTCTCAAAGCCCTCCTGGACGCCTGGGACGTGTCCCAGTCGCACTCAGCCGCATGGGGCCAGGAAGCCAAGCGAGCAGTACAGAAAGGGCTAAGCACCGTGGCCGTGGCAGTGGCAGAGGAGCACCCAGAGGCCCTCACTGACCCCGGCCGCCCAGAGGGGGTTGCGGTGGGGGAACTGGTGCTGGCGTGCGCCGCAGGGGCTGGGGCCGGGTGGGGAGGCGGGGGGGAGGGGGGCGGGGAGGCGGGTGAGAGTGCGGAGGAGGTGGAGGCGAGTGCGGATGCGGTGGTTGAGTTCTTTGCCGCGGTCAACACGGTGCCGGTCAGCGAGCGCAGCGAGGCGTACCGAGGGGCGCTGTTCCTGCGCCTCGCAGAAACCCTCACAGCCAAGGTGAGCACAGGGAGGAGGTGGAGGAGAGTGCGGATGCAGTGGCCGAGTTCTTTGTTGCGGCCGGCCGGTCAGTCCGTGCCTCACGCTCTGAGCCGTACCGAGGAGCGCGTTTGCTGCGGCCAACACGGCGCCTGTCTGTGAAGGAACACGGTTAACCATGTGGAGATTTTTTAGGCGCCTCAAAAATCTGTCTGTGAAGGAACACGGTTAACCATGTGGAGATTTTTGAGGCGCCTAAAAAATCTGTCTGTGAAGGAACACAGTTAACCATGTGGAGATTTTTGAGGCGCCTAAAAAATCTGTCTGTGAAGGAACACGGTTAACCATGTGGAGATTTTTGAGGCGCCTCAAAAATCTGTCTGTGAAGGAACACGGTTAACCATGTGGAGATTTTTGAGGCGCCTCAAAAATCTGTCTGTGAAGGAACACGGTTAACCATGTGGAGATTTTTGAGGCGCCTCAAAAATCTGTCTGTGAAGGAACACGGTTAACCATGTGGAGATTTTTGAGGCGCCTAAAAAATCTGTCTGTGAAGGAACACGGTTAACCATGTGGAGATTTTTGAGGCGCCTCAAAAATCTGTCTGTGAAGGAACACGGTTAACCATGTGGAGATTTTTGAGGCGCCTCAAAAATCTGTCTGTGAAGGAACACGGTTAACCATGTGGAGATTTTTGAGGCGCCTCAAAAATCTGTCTGTGAAGGAACACCGTTAACCATGTGGAGATTTTTGAGGCGCCTAAAAAATCTGTCTGTGAAGGAACACGGTTAACCATGTGGAGATTTTTGAGGCGCCTCAAAAATCTGTCTGTGAAGGAACACGGTTAACCATGTGGAGATTTTTGAGGCGCCTCAAAAATCTGTCTGTGAAGGAACACGGTTAACCATGTGGAGATTTTTGAGGCGCCTCAAAAATCTGTCTGTGAAGGAACACGGTTAACCATGTGGAGATTTTTGAGGCGCCTCAAAAATCTGTCTGTGAAGGAACACGGTTAACCATGTGGAGATTTTTGAGGCGCCTCAAAAATCTGTCTGTGAAGGAACACGGTTAACCATGTGGAGATTTTTGAGGCGCCTCAAAAATCTGTCTGTGAAGGAACACGGTTAACCATGTGGAGATTTTTGAGGCGCCTCAAAAATCTGTCTGTGAAGGAACACGGTTAACCATGTGGAGATTTTTGAGGCGCCTAAAAAATCTGTCTGTGAAGGAACACGGTTAACCATGTGGAGATTTTTGAGGCGCCTCAAAAATCTGTCTGTGAAGGAACACGGTTAACCATGTGGAGATTTTTGAGGCGCCTCAAAAATCTGTCTGTGAAGGAACACGGTTAACCATGTGGAGATTTTTGAGGCGCCTCAAAAATCTGTCTGTGAAGGAACACGGTTAACCATGTGGAGATTTTTGAGGCGCCTCAAAAATCTGTCTGTGAAGGAACACCGTTAACCATGTGGAGATTTTTGAGGCGCCTAAAAAATCTGTCTGTGAAGGAACACCGTTAACCATGTGGAGTGGAGAGGCGCTGTCGTCTGCGCGCGCCTGGCTCAACGTGAGGTGACGGTCTGGAGTTGGACATTGACGGCTGGCGTGAGGCGGCAGCCAGTGGCTAGATGCGATAGCACAAACAGTACTAGGCTGGGCTGCATAGATAGGCACTTTGTTGCTTGCCGGCCACTTGACCCCTACTTCTCCATGTGCTTTAGTCTGCGTGAGCACACTCAAACCACAGCTCGTCTCTCCCTCCCTCTCCCTCCCTCTCCTTCCCTCTCCCTCCCTCTCCCTCCCTCTCCCTCCCTCGCCTCCCTCCCTCGCCTCCCTCCCTCTATTCCCCCTCTCCCTCACTTGCAGGCGGCCTATCCCCCGTCGTTCACCTCATGGGCCGACAACCAGGAAGATGCTGATGCCTTCTACCGCTTTAGGGACCAGGTGATGGCAACAGAGACCAGGTGATGGCAACAGAGGCCAGGTGATGGCAACAGAGACCAGGTGATGGCAGCAGAGGCCAGATGATGGCAACAGAGGTCCGGTGATGGTAACAGAGGTCAGGTGATGGTAACAGAGGTCAGGTGATGGTAACAGAGGTCAGGTGATGGTAACAGAGGTCAGGTGATGGTAACAGAGGTCAGGTGATGGTAACAAAGGTCAGGTGATGGTAACAGAGGTCAGGTGATGGTAACAGAGGTCAGGTGATGGTAGCAGATCCAGAGGAGACTAGCAGAGGCTGGTTCATAAGAGCCAAGGGCAGGCAATACGGCCAATATTACGGGCTTGCAACAAAGATTGGCTCGAGCTCATCTTGAGCTATTGCAATATCGCCACTCTTGTCTGGTCCGGTGGATGTTAACTCACCTGCCATCCCACCTGGCCTCTGCTGTTTTCACCTGGCAGATAGCAGCAGATGGGCTGCACATGGCGTTTGGGCTGCTGCCAGTGGAGTATCTGGACCGTGTAGGGAGCTCCCTGCAGGTGGGTGGGTGCAAGCAACGCAGTCCAGGTTTCTGGGTTGGTGGCTGGTACCGAGTTGTGCATGAGTGGCATGTGTGGACAGTAACGGGCATCCCTGCAGGTGGGCATGTGTGCAGCTATCACTGCAGGTGGGCATGTGTGCAGCTATAACTGCAGGTGGGCATGTGTGCAGCTATCACTGCAGGTGGGCATGTGTGCAGCTATAACTGCAGGTGGGCATGTGTGCAGCTATCACTGCAGGTGGGTATGTGTGCAGCTATCACTGCAGGTGGGCATGTGTGCAGCTATCACTGCGCCTGCAGCTGCTGTGAGATTCGTGTGTGCGTGTGCGTGCATGTGGGCAACACTTGAAGCATCAGAGCTCCTAGCAGATAGCTGTGTTTGCTAGTTCCTAGTGCCGTGCATCTGCATGCATTCTTGCTGCAGAGAGTACATCTACAGTCGGAATGTATGCATGGAATGGCGAGCATACATGCGCAATGGATGCGTGTTGCGTCTCACACTGTCCGCTCCGTCGCATGCATCTATGGCCGCCGGCGCGTATCGGTGTTCTGAGACGTCTCAAAACTAAGGTCGAACCAGCAAGCTCACAGACGCATGTGCACATCTGCCATGGTCATGCCATGGTCACTCACGTGTATGGCTTCTCAGTAGTTTCCCATGTCACGCCACACCATCCAATGCCATCCAATGCCATCCAATGCCATCCAATGCCATCCTATGCCACCCCATGTCGTCCCGCCCCCCACCGCTCAGAGTGCGGGCACGTGGCAGGCAGCAGAGGCGTCTCTCTTCATGCTTCGGTCCGCCGCACAAGCAGGTGATGCTGCTTGCCGCCCAGGTGATGCTGCTTGCCGCCCAGGTGATGCTGCTATCCGGCCAGGTGATGGTGCTAGCCGCCCAGGTGATGCTGCTAGTCGCCCAGGTGATGCTGCTTGCCGTCCAGGTGATGCTGCTAGCCGCCCAGGTGATGCTGCTAGCCGCCCAGGTGATGGTGCTTGCCGCCCAGGTGATGGTGCTTGCCGCCCAGGTGATGCTGCTTGCCGCCCAGGTGATGCTGCTAGCCGGCCAGGTGATGCTGCTAGCCGGCCAGGTGATGCTGCTTGCCGCCCAGGTGATGGTGCTTGCCGCCCAGGTGATGCTGCTAGCCGCCCAGGTGATGCTGCTAGCCGGCCAGGTGATGCTGCTAGCCGCCCAGGTGATGGTGCTTGCCGCCCAGGTGATGGTGCTAGCCGCCCAGGTGATAGTGCTAGCCGCCCAGGTGATGGTGCTTGCCGCCCAGGTGATGGTGCTTGCCGCCCAGGTGATGCTGCTTGCCGCCCAGGTGATGCTGCTAGCCGGCCAGGTGATGGTGCTAGCCTCCCAGGTGATGCTGCTTGCCGCCCAGGTAATGCTGCTAGCCGGCCAGGTGATGGTGCTAGCCGCCCAGGTGATGCTGCTTGCCGCTCAGGTGATTCTGCTAGCCGCCCAGTGATGCTCATACTGATGCCGTTTGCACCACACATATGTCGACCTGCAGCGATGTGGCAACAGGAGAAATCGCGTGCTCCTTGTACCCACCCTGCAGTGAGGCTGACACACTCCAAACCTCAACCACCCAACTATTCCCCACCCCCCTCCCCCTTCCCCCTCTCCTCCCCCACTTTCTCCCCCTCCCCCCCCCCGCCAGTGAAGAAGCGCCTGCTCAACCTGGAGGCGTACGGCGAGAGGGAGCAGCGCATGGCGGCGGTGCTGGGGGGAGTGATGGCGCGCGTGAGCAGGGACGCGGAGACTGGGGGGTTCCTGGCCTCGCACCCCCTGCTGGTGGACACGTGTTGCCTTCTCATCGGCTCCTTCGCTGACTGGCTCAACCTGCAGCCCGACTGCCTGCTGGGAGTCATTGGCTACCTCCTTAAAGCCCTGCAGGTGCCTCCTTAAAGCCCTGGAGGGATTTTCGTTATGCATGTGCCATGAGCCATGAGCCATGCGACATGCGCCATGCGCCTCACTCCATGCATCCATCTCATCACTGCATGCATCCATCTCATCACTGCATGCAACTTCCTCTCCATCTCACTCACTTCTCCCCATTGACTAGTTTTCTTTCCCTCCCTCCCCTTCGCCCACTCCCTCTCCTCCCCCCCTCCCTCTCCTCGCCCACTCCCTCTCCGTCGCCCCGTGCACACGATTCGTGTTGCTGTCTCTTCTCCATCGAATCCCGCCCTCCTCTCCATGGCACTCCCCTCTGCCGTTTTATTCCACATGCTTGACGATCTGCTGCCCATCGGCTACCAGAGGCACTGCACACTGCATCAGAAGCCTTCACAGCGGTGTGTGCCCATTGTCCCACACTACTCCGCTCTCCCTCACTCCACTGCCTCATTTCCCCTCCCCCCTCCCCCCGCCTTCCCCCTCCCCTCTTCCATCTCCCCCCCACACCAGGTGCCAGAGGCAGTGCACAGTGCAGCGGACGCCTTCAGAGCAGTATGTGCCCGCTGTGCCTCGCGCCTTAACGCGCCCTCCCTCCTGCAGGGCCTCATGTCCGCCACCCTCTCCTCCCTCCCCGCCACCTCCCTCATCCCCTCCCGCCCCCGCGGCACCGCCCCCTTCCCCTCCTCCTCCTCCTCCCTCTCCTCCTGCTCCTTTTCCTCCTCCTCCTCCTCCTTCCCCTCCTCGCACTCCCACCCACACTCCGCCCACCCCACGTCCCCTCACTCGGTGGACCTGGAGATCCGGCAAGCGCTGATGGAGGGGCAAGCGCGGGTCATCGCCTCCCTCCCTCCCGCCACCGCCGCCCCCCTCGCTCTCCGCCTCACCACGCCACACATACATCTGGCGGCACAGCTGGCGCAGATGCAGACAAACGAGCCCAGTGGCTCAGGAGGAGGGGGCACAGGGCATGGACAGAGTAGTGAGGGTAACAGTGATAGGAGTAGCAGTGGTGGCGGTGGCGGTGGTGGGGGTGAGGGTGTGGGAGAGGCGCTGTCGACACAGCTGCTGCTGCTGGCTGCTGCTGTCCGTTTCCTTGAGTTTGACGATGCCTTGCGACGAATGCCCCCCTCGCAACAACAACAACAGCAGCAGCAGCAGGAGCAAGAAGTGAGGAACGGAGGGGCACAAACACCTCAACACCAGCAGCAACAGCAGCAGCAGCATCCGTGCATAGCAGTGATGGAAGCAGCAGCGCCTCTGGTCTCAGACCTCCTGGCCTCGCCTCGCTGGCGCGCCCAACCACCTGTCATCACCGCCCTCTCGCACCTCTTCCGCCACTCCCTGCTCTGCCTCAAGCACCCCTCTCCACCCATCCTGCCGTCCATCGCACCGCTGGTCACGGCATTCGAGGAGCACCAGCACCCGGCCGTGCTGGAGGTGCTGGCACTGGTGCTTGAACTGAGCGCTCATAACCCGTCTCTTGCCGCTGCCTCTGCTGGCGGCCGTGGGGATCTCTCTCTCTGCCACTCCGCCCTCCAAGCGTGCTCCATTAGTGCATTTTCCCTCATTCAGGTGAGATTCTGCAGTATTGTAGGAGAGTTTGGGTCGACTTAATGGCCAGCACTGATTTGAATAAGGCGTTCTCGTTTTCTTGTTTGAGTAAGCTCTATTTCGCCCTGTGCTGAGGGGCCCCACTCGTTCGAGTAAGCCCCCTCGTTGGAATAAGCCCCCTCCATTTTGAATAAGTCGCCTGGTTTCAATAAGCCTCCTGCGTTCTAGTGGCCCCTTTCATTCCTCGTTCTATTTATCATTCCCTTATGCCTCACAGATGGCTTCTCACCTCTACTCTTGCCCCTTGACCTCGTTCCCCCTCTCCTAACCTCACTATCTCACTATCTCATCAGCCCCTTACCCTGCACCCCCACCCACCCGCCCTTCCCTCAACCTCCTTCCGCTCTTCGTTTTGCACACTTCCCCCCCCCCCCCCTGCTACTTCCCAAACCCCCCTGTGGCTCCCGTTGTGCATTCCGCACCCATTCAGAGGGGATGGGACATCTCCCCCACTGGCCAGACATCGTATCAGCCCGATTGGATGTGGCCTTTCATTGCCCGGTCTTAATGTGACACCTGCTGCTGCAGTCCACCATCTCAGCCCTCAATTCTCTCCACTCTTTTCCATCCCTCGATGCCTCCCCTCCCGTCCAGAGGGGCCATCTCCCCCACCGGCCAGAGGTCCTCTCCGCGTTGTTCGACATGGCGTACCGCTACCTGCTCTTCGCCCCGCACCTGCTGCTGCAGTCGCCCTTCCTGGCCGCGCTGCTGGACGCCGCTGCGGCCACGGTGGCCAACGGGGAGCGGGAGTCGTCCAAGTCAGCGCTCACTCTGCTGTGCCTGCTGCTGTCCCCTGGCAAGAAGGCCCTTTCTTCCCACGCCTGGATCAGGTAGGATGACCCCATCCCCGAGGTGATGCTTGATTCGGCTCGGATCCCACAGTGGCAACTGGGGAGCAGAAATTGTCCAAATCAGCAGCGCTCACGCTGCTGTGCCTGCTGCTGTCGCCAGGAAGGCTCTTTTCTCCCACGCTTGGACCAGATAGCTCTCCTTTCTCACGCCTGGGGTGCCTTCTGGGGTGCCTTCTGGGGTGCCCTCTGGGGTGCCCTCTGGGGTGACTCAGCAGCCCTCTGCTTTGCGTGCTGCTGTTTCCGGGAGGAGCGACCAGCAGGTGCTGCCCTTTGTGGTGCAGCGGACGGATGGTGTGACCACTTCTGCTGACGCACGTGGCAACGTCGCACACACACACAGGAGGAGCTGGTCTTTATGAGTCGACTCAAAATTAACAATCTGGTCTTTATTGTGCTGGTTCTGTCTGGCAGATGGAGGAGCGAGCAGCAGCCGCTTCTGCCTTTACTGCCCTCTCGCAACCCTTGCCCCGTTCTGCCCCACATCCCACTCCCCTCCCTGCAGTTGCAGTGCCTGTCCCGGGCTTGCAACGAGTCTGAAGCACTAGGGCCAACCTGTGGTCTTCTTTCACCCGTAGCTATACCTCCTACCTGTTCCTCCCTCTCTTCTCTCCCCCCCCCCCTCCCCCTCCCCCCTCCCCCTTCCCCCCTTCCTCCTCTCTCCCCCAGTGCCCGTCCCGTGATAATCACCAGTCTGCAGCACCAAGGGCAACCCGTGGTCTCCTCCCTCCTCCTAGCAGCAGCAGGGAAGGCCCCCCGCGACCTCCTCCGACCCATCGCCACCGCTCTCCACCATTTGATCCTCATCCCTGACCTGCACCCGCATCTCCCCAACTGGCTGGTTACCGCGTTACGCTCGCCGGACTTCCAGAAGGGAGTTCCGGAGGCAGTGGGGGAGGGCGAGTTGCAGCTGTTCTGTGAGTTGCTGCTGCGACAGCCGTCGCTGCCGCGGCCGAGGTTTGAAGCCCTGGTGGTGGATTTTGCCGCCATCTGTAGGTCAGAGGGGACTGTGGACGCTCTGCTAGGATACCAGATGTAATGCGTTTGTTTGTTGCAGAAGTAACCAATTAGTGAGCTTTGCTATGTTCCAGTTGTTTTGTTGGTGTGTTTGGTGGTGTATTTATTTCAGCGCTGCTTGTGTCGTCTGTGGCTCAAGTAGTGGGACTAAGCACCACATCCTAGCATCCTTCCATTGGGAACAACCGTATCTTCCGGTTGTTCCGGAGGGCTCAGCTCATTCGCAGCACTGCATGCACAATTCAATCACAAGCTCACAACTAGGGTCAGAGCAGCAGCCACACCTACAAAAACTAGCTACAATAAGAATCTGCGCGTTTGGTTGAGTACCAGTTCCTGTATCTGGTATGTGCTGATTGAGACACTAGCATAGCATGTGTCTGCGTCTGCACCGCAACTGCTACATCCATACCCTCTCTTGCACAGCCTGGCACGTGGCCGATATCTCCGCCGCAACCCACAACTGGAGTCGACTCAGATGACAGCTGTAAACCATCACTGCCATGCTATGGACACAAGTAGAAACACAGTGAAGCACCGCACTGTGCTAGTAGGGTGGTAAGTAACATCCACATCCATTGTGCTTGCAGCTGCAGCCCGACACGAATCATCCCAGGGCAACTTACATCCAAGCTTCTGCCAGCCTCCTTACTCCACCCATCCGGCTCATACGGATCAGAACCAGCCTCCAGCGCAGCTGCAACATTCCTCCCGCACACTCCATGTGACTGTAGAGTTGGCGGCCCTTGGCTCAGCCCCCGTAGGACCAGCAGGTTGGCTGGCCTTGACTCTACCCTCCAGTGACTATCTCCTGTTCCATTGACCAGGCGGCCCTTGAAATGCCTCATCTATCCCCCTCCTCTTCGTTTGCACAACCTGCTCCCTGCTCCCTGCGCCCTGCCACCTGCCACCTGCCACCTGCCACCTGCCACCTACCACCTACCACCTGCCACCGGCTACCTGCTCCCTGCACCTGTTCCCCGCTCCCTGCTTCATGCTCTCCATGCTTCCTGCATATAAACTTGATGATACTATGCCATCGGAAATTTGATACAGCATCGGTGGAACAATAAGCCACAGAACATCTGGGTAGAGAGAGATGAACCATGGACAACTGCATACCCCTTACACATCGGCGTCTATGGATGGACTGGTGTGGTGGGGATGGATGGGTGATGGATGGATGGACGGATGGATGGACGGGCGGACTGGCGGGCGGGCGGATGGGCGGGCAGGCGGGCGGGCGGGCAGGCGGACGGACGGACGGATGGAGGGATGGATGGATGGATGGATGGATGGATGGATGGATGGATGGATGGATGGATGGATGGATGGATGGATGGATGGATGGATGGATGGATGGATGGATGGATGGATGGATGGATGGATGGATGGATGGATGGATGGATGGATGGATGGATGGATGGATGGATGGATGGATGGATGGATGGATGGATGGATGGATGGATGGATGGATGGATGGATGGATGGATGGATGGATGGATGGATGGATGGATGGATGGACAGACGGACAGACGAACGGACCGATGGATGATGGAAGGACTAATAGGAAACAAAAGACAGAGAGGAGGGAAGGGGGAAGGAGTGTCAGTTCATACACTCACTCACCCGGGCTACTTGTTCATGAACAGGTAAAATCAATAGAGAGTTTTCGAATGAGAGTGATGGTGGCGGCGAAGGGGAGGGGAGGGGAGGGGAGGGCTAAAGGTGAGGGAGGAAAGTGTAAGAGAATTCTTATGCAGTTAGCAGCTTCAGATAAGACAGAACTCTCTAGAGACAGCTGCATGGAAAATCAGACCCACCATATTCTCAAGCATGGCAAGAGAAGGCCAAAACTCACTACTTTTCAATAAAACCACAGGAGAACGACCCGATCTGATCAGTATCCCATGGCCAATCTTCAATCAAGGTAGCGTGGCGGATGGATTATGCAGGATAGAGAGCAGAGGACTACCTCTGCTCAAACAAATGTCCCTGGACGATTTCAACTAGATAGATTAGTTCTATACACGAATATGTACATTGTTCACTACACATAAGCTATCATTCACCTCCACCTAGATTTCTGAGACACTTGTTTCTGCGAGGCTGCTTTTGCAGCCTGGCTCACTTGCCCCCTTCTCCCCCCTGTTGTTCCCTGCAACCCCTTCTGCGATTCCCGCCTCAGAGGTGATGTAACAGCAGCAGAAGCACCAACACTGGCAGTGGCAGATGATGCAGCATACTTCACTGTTGGCTTGACAACCGCAGGCTTCACTGTTGGTTTGCAGGCTGCCGGCTTCGCAGCTGGCTTGCAAGCTGCTGGCTTTACCACTGGCTTCGCTGCTGCCTTGACTGCGGGACTTGCTGCAGCCTTGACTGCGGATTTCGCTGCAGCCTTGACTGCGGGTTTCCCTGCAGCCTTGACAGCGGAATTCGCTGCAGCCTTTACTGCGGCTTTCCCTGCAGCCTTGACTGCGGGTTTCGCTGCTGGCTTGACCACTGGCTTCGCTGCTGCCTTTGCTGCAGGTTTCACAACTGGTCGTACAGTCGACTTGCACGCAGTGGACCTCATCGCTGCTGATGTCTTGGTCTCCATTTGGCGTGAAACAGCAGCAGCAGCAGGCATAGAAGTCGTAACTGCAGCAGCAACAGCGTCAGCAGCAGCAGTAGCAGCAGCACCAACAGCCTCAGCAGCAGCAGAAGCAGCAGCACCGATCGCGTCAGCAGCAGCCGTAACAGCAGAAGCAACAGCATTCATAGCGACAGCAGCAGCAGCGGTGACAGCAGCAGGTCTCAAGGGGGAGAAGCCCAGGCGAGCTCCAACGCCTCGTTCCCGGCGCTTCTTCCCAGCCTCAGCGAAACGACCGACCTTAAGCGCCACTTCAGCCGAGCTCATGGGCTGGCATGTCGCTATCCACGACTGTTCACCCTCACTGCGTCCTGCCAGACTCGTAACCGATTCACCTCTCAAATACGCCTCATCCTCCTCAGTCCACTCCGTGATGAACTCAGCCGAGTTCACCACACCACGTTCTGCCAGCCACTCGCTTACACTCCAGGCATTGCTGCTCTTTACCGAACCACTTGTTAAGTATTCCTCATCCTCATTTGTCCACTCCGAGATAAACTCTGACGTGCTCACTGTAATTCCAGCCAGGAGCAGCAACTCCTCGCTGGGACTCAGCGTAGTACGTCGCATCTTGGCTGAAACTGCTCTCAGCTCTGTCTCATCAGCAGCAGTCCATTCCGTTATAAACTCTGACGTGCTTACTGTAATTCCAGCCAGGAGCAGCAACTCCTCACTGGGACTCAACGTAGCACGTCGCGTGTTGGCTGAAGCTGCTCTCAGCTCTGCCTCATCAGCAGCAGTCCAATCACAAAGCCATTCGAAAGGAGTCTGGTTCACTGCAGAGCAGTCGAACCAGAAGGGTACTTGCCAGAGGTATTTCGCTGCCTTGCCAAGAAACGTGGCAGCAGCCAGAGCAGCCACGAGAGCGGTCTCAGGGTTGGCCGAGGCCATTAGAGCAGTTGGGGGGGCTCAGGCACAAGGAGCAAAGATCGAGGGCAGTGTGCTTGCAAGAGGGTGTGATTAAGAAGATGCTCAACTCAAAAGCTGTGACTGAAGAGAAATGGCCGTCGGAGTGCCATTTCTACTGACAGCCAGCGAGGGGAACTCCAGTTCACGAAGGGAGGGACCTTCGCGAACGTTGCTTCACCACCGTTCGTTTGTCGCGCTGCCAGGCAAACGCGAAGCGGCCGGTGTGTCGCTCAAATGTCGGGACCCAGCGTGGTTTCCAGCCAGCGCACGCGCTGACGAAGATCGGACGGTTATAAACTGTCTAGGGTCCTTCTAGAAGTGCATCTGTGGCTGCGATTTGTCAACGAAGGGAACCTCCGCCAGCACATTCACGTTGGGTGATGTAACAATACATGGCTGAGTTACAAATCGGACGGTTCAAAACACTCCGTGTTCTTCGAGACTTCATCGACGGTTCCGATTGGCACCGACATTAATAGCGCATGCATGTGAACGGAACCAGCGTGACGTGGCATGAGTGGTGGGTCCATACCTGGTACGTGTTCTCGCACGTGAATCCATTTTCGCCACGTCACGGATAACCAGGCTGTGCGGTGGACAGAGCACGCCTGAAACTGTGTGGCTATCCTCAAATCCGTAAGCAAGGTCTAGGGCGGCGGATAAAAGGCGCGAATGCTGATCACGTGAGACCGTGCAAAGTGCGGTGGACAAAACACGCTAGATAATCCAGTGGCAACTCTAATATCTAGTCAGTAAGGGCGGGTTGCAGCGTGCTTGCAGGCGGCCAGTGAGGGAAGTCTGGGCGGTTTACTGCAGAGAAGCGAGACTGGTTGTGGGAGGGAAGGGAATGCTTGGGAGCTGAGATCGGCTGCTAGAACAGAATTATGGCGAGATGAGATCAGGTTGGTGGTGAACGAAACCCTAAATGGAATACTCAGTAGGACGCACCCTTTACTGCTAAAGAAACATGCTGACAGATATTTCCCTAAGATCTTTAGTGTGTTGAAGTTTCACTTTTCTGCTATGTTCTCGTTGTTTCAACTTGCAACGACCAACGAACAGCTTTTGTGGAACTAGGACACTGCTTAGGTGTGCTATACAAAAATGGATCCGACAAGAGGTACTGTACTTGTGAACTGAACACTTGTCAATAATGGAATGAATTATATTATCGATGTACATTGATCCACACCTTAGGACAATATGCAGTATTTCAGTTTCCATGCTATACACAAGGACCATGTTTCTGTTGTGATGACTGGTGCATGGGGAGTCTAAAGCATCTTCCTCCACTGTCTCGGTCACATGGTTTGAATCAATGATGAATGGAAGATCAATGGATGGTGAATGGATTATGAAGGAATGGTGAATGGATGATGAATGGATGATGATTGGACGAACGGACGATGAACGGGTGATGAACCGACGATGAACTGCTGATGAATGAATGAGTAAACGGGTTTTGTGTGGATGCTACAGAAAGTACGAGAGATGCATGGATGTTGTATGGATGATGACGCATAGCCTGCAAGTCGGACAACCCATGGTGATGAAAGGATGGGATATTGCAGAGGGTGATGGTCCAACATTGTCTTTGTCCAAATGCGCACGGGATATTGCACAGGCATGGTCCAACCGTGTGTTGCACAGGAGCAGCCCGTAGCCCTCAAGGAAGGGATCAGCCGCATGACCAGTGAGTACGCATATGCATGCATAAAAGCTGGAAAAACATATGCAGGATGACACACCAGATGGCTATGGGAACGCATCCACGAGCAATGGCAACAGAAATTGCATGATATATGAGGAAATTTCAGACGCATGAGGGATAGGAAGAGGCCAAACGGTTGGAAATTGTGAGAATGTCAGATTCAAGGGAAAAGGGAAAAGGACTGATGAAGTTGAGAAGGGAAATGCTCAGCTGAATGGGGGATGGGAAAAGGTCAGCTGCATGCGAAATAATATGAACAAGAAATGCGAAAATATAAGATGCATAGGAATTGAGAAAGATGCCAGATGCTTAGGAAACGAAAGGCTACATAAGAATATAGATAGAAAATGCCAAATGCACGGAAAATGGGAAAATGTCAGATGCATAGGGGTACTGGCAAGGGTCAGACAAATCAAACGACGTCCCACCCACCCATCACCCTGTGCCATCTCAACCATCACCCTGTGCCATCCCACACATCACCCTGTGCCATCTCACCCATCACCCTGTGCCATCCCACCCATCATCACATCTCATCCCACCCATCGATGACAGTTCGGATAAGCGATACAAGAATGGGAAATAAGAAAAATCAAAGGCATGGGAGAAGGGAAAAGTTCAGTTGCACGTGGAATGGGAAAATGTCTGATGCACGGGAAATGGGAAAAGGTAAGATGCATAGGAAATGGGAAAATGTCAGATGCATCAGAAAGGGGTTACTGAAAAGGGTCAGACAAAATTGATAGATGACGAATAGATGATGATGGCTGATTGATGAATGGGCGGGTAAACAGTGCTGATGTGGATAATGCAGGATGTGTGAGTGATGCATCAATATTGAATCGCCTCATCCCACACATCACCACCTTTCATCCCACCCACCCACCATCAATGGGAGTTCAGGTCAGAGTGAGGCCAGAAGCATGGGAGATAAGACAAGGTCAGAAGCATGGGAGATGGAAAAGTTCAATTGTACACAGGATTGAAAAATGTCTGATGCACGGGAAATGGGGAAAAGGTCAGAAGCATGGAAGATGGGAAACTGTCAGATGTGTTGGAGCTGGGATATTAGAGCCCATCACTTAAGGTCCTCAGCACTCTCGAATGACAGCTGCATCAGGAATTCAGGACCACACACCTCTCAAACAAGCAACACAACGCCACATCAGAAATGCATATGAAGCCAGCCTTGCTGTATTCTACAGCCTTTATTCAATGCAAGGCGTGCCGCATCCCACCCATCACCCTGTGCCATCCCACCCATCACTCTGTGCCATCTCACCCATCACCCATCACCCCATCTCATGCCACCCATCATCCCACCCATGACCCCATGTCATCCCACCCATCACCCCATGTCATGCCACCCATCACCCCATGTCATCCCACCCATCACTCATCACCCCATGTCATCCCAATCATCAGTGGATAGGTGTCGAATAGAGGAAGGCTTATTGATGGATGGGCAGGTAACCGGGTCTGATGTGGATAATGCCGGATGTGTGAGTGATGCATCGGCGTTGAATCGTCTCATACCACACACACATCGCCCCATCTCATCCTAACCACACATCGATGGGAGTTCAGATCAGAGATACAAGAATGGGAAAAGGCCAGAAGCATGGGAAATGGGACAAGGTCAGATGCACGGGAAATGGGGAAAGGTCAGATGAATAGGAAATGGGAAAATGTCGGATGCGTGGGAAATGGGAAATTACAGCCCATCACTTAAGGTCCTCAGCACTCTCGAATGACAGCTGGTTAAGGAATTAACGCACCTGTCAAACAAGCTTCAGAACGCCACATCATAAATGCATATGAAGACAGCAATTTCTGTATTCTACAGCCTTTATTCAACTCAGGGAGTGAGTGTGGCTGTACGCCTGGATGCAGCAAAACCAGCATTGTTCCAACCAGTTTTGAATTCAAAATTTCGAGGAAAATATATGCTATACAGGATTATGTACAGAATTCACTACAAATCGAAGTACCTATTTAGGTACCTTTCACATCCACCTAGATTTCTGAGACACTTGTTTCTGCGAGGCTACTGCCTGGCTTATTTCCCCCTTCTCCCCCCTGTTGTTCCCTGCAACCCATTCTGCGATGGCCGCCTCAGAGGTGATGTAACAGCAGGAGAAGCACCAACGCTGGCAGTGGCAGGAGTAGCAGCGGATTTCGCTGCTGGCTTGCAAACTGCAGGCTTGACCGCTGGCTTGCAAACTGCAGGCTTGGCCGCTGGCTTGCAAGCTGCAGGCTTGACCGCTGGCTTGCAAGCTGCAGGCTTGGCCGCTGGCTTGCAAGCTGCAGGCTTGACCACTGGCTTGCACGCTGCAGGCTTAGCCGCTGGCTTGCACGCTGCAGGCTTGACCGCTGGCTTGCAAGCTGCAGGCTTGACCGCTGGCTTGCAAGCTGCAGGCTTAGCCGCTGGCTTGCAAGCTGCAGGCTTGACCGCTGGCTTGCACGCTGCAGGCTTGACCGCTGGCTTGCACGCTGCAGGCTTGGCCGCTGACCTGCACGCTGCAGCCTTGACTGCTGGCTTGCAAGCTGCAGACTTGACTGCTGGCTTGCACGCTGCAGGCTTGACTGCTGGCTTGCAAGCTGCAGGCTTGACTGCCCGCTTGCACGGCGAGGATTTCGTTGCTGATGCTGCTGGTGATGCAGTAGCAGGAGTAGGAGCAGTAGCAATAGCAGCCACAACGCCAACAGCACCAGGAACTGTTCCCATGGCGTCTGCGGCAGCAGCAGCAGCGGTGTCAGCAGCAGCACTCACGGCGCCAGCAGCAGCAGCAGCAGCAACGCTCACAATGTTGGCCGCAGCACTCATTACAGCAACAGCAACATCCATAGCAGCAGGTCTCAGACGAGAGAAGCCAAGATGAGATCGAAGACCGTGCTTTTGCCTGTCGCTCCTGACAGACGTCTGCGTCAAATACGCCTCATCAGCGGACGTCCACTCCGTGACGAACTCATCAGGGTTCACAGGAGTGCTTTCGGCAAGCCACTCGTCGGAATCAGCAGATGCACGAGCTCGGATCTGGTCAGTTCTTAGACAAGCGTCATCCTCTGCCGTCCACTCGGAAATGAACTCAGCAGGATTCACAAGAGTCTTTTCCGTCAGCCACTCGGAAGATTCGGCAGAGATACGAGCTTTGGATGCGTCACTCCTTAAGAATGCCGCATCCTCCTCCGTCCACTCAGAAATGAACTCGGCTTGGCTCACCGTGCTGTATCCTGCCAGCAGCAGCGGCAGCAGCTGAGTCGAGCGTCTCTTAGCTGAGCCATTTCTGAGCTCGGCTTCATCAGCCGCAGTAAAGTCCATCAGCCATTCAAATGGGGTTGAGTTTGCAGGAGAGCAGAGTAACCAGCTGGGAATATCCCAGATGTACCTTGCTGCGTCTCCAAAACATGTGGCAGCAGCAAGAGCCACTGCCACAGCGGATTCCGGGTGTAAGAATGCCATCGGATGCGAGGTTTAGGAGCTGGAACGATCCAGCAGAGAGAGCGTGGAGGAAGTTCTAGTGGGGTTTCACAGGCACTACAGCACGAGGAGTGGACGATCGGCGACGAGGGAGTGATTCAACTAGAGCTGAAATAATCGAATGTGATTGAAGACGAAATGGCTGTCAGCTGGCCATTTGTACTGTCAGGCAGAGGGAACACCACCGTAGAGCGTTGCTTCCCCTCCGCTCGTAGGCCGCACAGCCAGGCCAACGCCGTCTAGGATTGCGTGGCTCAAGATTTAGGACCACACCAGAGGCTGCGATTGCCGCTGGCAAGGCTTTTTGCCAGCGAACCGACAAGGTGCTTACGTAGAGCTAGATCGGACGGTCGTCGGAGCTCCACGCTCCTTCTAGAACGTCAGCAGTGGTTACGATTGACCCACCGAGGCTTCCCCCTGCCAGCGCATTCACGTGGACGACGCGAAATGAGGTGGCAAGGGAAGCAATCGAACGGTTCAAGCCACGCGACGTGTTCTGGAACCTTATCCACCGCTACGTTTCGCACCGACAATGACAGCGCACGCTGGTGCAGCTTGCTGACGTCGATGCCTTGATGATTTCGACCACAGGCAACACATTCGACGTGGATCTACTCACCTGATGCTTGGATTGGCCATGTCTGACGTGTACTCGTCGCACGTGACGCACATGAAGCCTATCGCCACATGGAGACTGGCGTGCTTCACGGTGCCCTGTGCGCTGGAGAGAAATTCTAGATAATCATGTCCGTTCAATTCTTGAGTGCCTCATCACCTCGGCGAAGGATCCGCAGAACCCGCATTGATTCGGTCCCTGAAGCTGCGAACTCTTCCGTGTCCCGACGTAAAAAGTAACCCGTGCAGCTTGCCGCCCTACGTGGATTGTAACCAGTCACGATTTGACGCCCCGTGCGATGGGCATGAAATGTAGAGATTGCTGCAGCTACGTATCTCTTTCTTCGTGTCGTAAGGCCAGCTGGGCGAAATAGATGGGCGGTCAGTGAGGGAAGACGGGGGGCGGCTGACTTCACGGGAGGCTAAATAGATCCGTTGTAGGGGGGGAGGTGGCAGCTAATTTATGAGATCCAGCGGGTGATGCACGAAGCTCTGGGCAGCATACTCGGCAAGACGCAGCAGCGATTCAGATGACAAGAATGAACTAATTCTGCAACGGATACGGTACGGAACATGTTAATCACAAATATGAGCTATGCTTTGTGTTGCTATCCTAATTGCAATGTTTCTACATACTCGCACTTTGGAGGGCAACGGTTGACGATTTTGGTACTAATTGAAGATGCTTTTCGCATCACATCCTCCAACACCTTCAACAAAGCCTTTAGAACACTTCTTAGTCAATCCCTGTGTTCTCATCCTTGCGATAGTGCTACCTCCTCCCTGCAAACACTTTTCCTGGCCTGGGCGTTCAGTTCCCACCCATGTAGTTTAGTTCCAAATGAACTTGTAAAGCCCATCAACAATAATTTCAGAGCCATTCACAGTTGTGCTCATTTTTCCTCATTCTCCATTCACTTCCCCCCACTCCTCTTGGCCTGGATGCCCATCGTCCCCAGCAACTCCACCACTCGGTCTGCCACGTCACCCTGCCACCCACACAGGCCATGCGACAAAGAGGGGGAAACAATGGGAAACAATTCACACGAGATAACTAAGTGTTGCATCAGCTCACCACTCGCTCCTCCGCATCTCCCTGCCAGCCACGGGCCATGGGATGAAGAGGGGGATACCGGTTTGTGAGATAGTGGGACTTGCTTTGGTGACATCGTAACATGCTTTTAGCATCGCTCCATTACAGCAGCTCCCAACACTTCCAACGCCACGTTACCCTGCCACGGAGACATGAGATGAAGAGGTGGAAGGTTGGTCCACAAAATATAAGTCAGGGTGGAAGGTTGGTGCTCTCTTGAACATCCTTCCCTCTACAACTCTCCACCCCTCATTGTTCCCTCTCCATGCAACACTCTTCACATTCTCTCTACCCCCCACTCAGTCATTCCCGCGCACTCACTCACCCACTCAGTCCCTCACTCACCTCTCACTCATCTGTAACGCAATACACCCATCCTTCACAGCCTCGCCACTCCGTCCACTCTTTCCGTACTCTCTCTCACTGTTTCCACGCGCATTCATCCGCTCCCTCCACTCCCTCCACTCCCTCCACTCCCTCCACTCCCTCCACTCCCTCACTCACTTCCTTTCTCACCTGCAGTTCCAGGCATCCGTCCTTTACGGCCCCGCCACTCCCGAGCGCCGTTTTCAGCTTCTTCAACAGCGCTGCCACCTCAGCATCGCCACCAGCCAATCGCAGCCCGTCCACCACCGTCACCGTTTTCCCGCCACGTCCGCGCCGCGTCGCCTGCACCGTTACCCCGCCGCCCTTTGCCGAAGCCGCGCCCTTCCCTCCTTGTTGGCCCCCGTCTTTCCCTGCAGGTGCGCTTCTGCTCGGCGCGCTTCCTCTCTTACCGCCTCCGCCACCCGCGGTTCGTGGGTCTCCGCCTGTTCGCCCGCTAGAATCACTCCTGCGAATAATCACAAAATCCTCGGGGTTTTCTCTGCTCCGCGCAGCGTCGATATCTGAACCGTTATCATCTCGGCCGTACAGTGGTTCGGCTGCATTGCTGCCCAACGGAAAGCTCTGCTTTAGATTGGCGAAAGGGTTGCCGCCTTGCGACGTTGGCGAACTCTGAGACGAACGACCGGCGAATGCGGTAACCACAAGGCAACGCGACGACGGGCTAGCGGGGGACAAACCGATCGTCGGCGAAATTACTGGACGGAGGACGGAAAGCTCTCCGCATCCCCCGCCGCAAGTGACGGGAGAAGCCGCGAAGGCGGAGGCTAGTGAAACCGAAGCCATGGAGATGAATCAAGTAATCAAGTGCCTATAGAGACAGAAGGTTTAGTGGAGCAATTGTACGCGATAGTGGACAAACTTATTTTTGCCTACTATTTCGTAAAGTTTTTGCATTGCAACAAAATATTCACGCGCGCAACTGTAGACTTTCAGCAATTGATGTGCTTGAACACAGCCGGGTAAATTCGCCCTCCCGTCCACGTCTTGTCGCACTCCATCCACGTCCTCCTCTGCTTTGATCACCAACCATTGCATCTCTCATCGCTGACAGGACGCTGCTGCCAGCAAGAATTGCCACGTCACAGAGAGCACGTGGACCTCGGATGCTCCAGAGAGCTCAAATGGCTTGACTTGACTCTAACGAGGGGTGACGCACGACGAAGCCCTCGTGTTGCAGAAGCAGGCGGAGCAGCTTCGCCCGCTTTCGTCACCACCACAGAAAATAATCATATAGCGATACACCGTGCTGTAACGTACTAAAACAAAGGTACACCCTCTCCACCGTACACGACCGCAAGCTGCCATTACACTGGTTGTGGTGCCTGGCTCTTGGCTGGTACAGCCAGAATCTTTCTGTTGGATGGGCTATGCTTTACAGTAATCCCTTCCTATCTACCTCCTTCCAGCGACCGGTTACTCTTTCATTCTCCCTCAAGTCACCCATCTCCCGCTCAGCCTAGTCCGTCGTGTCCATAAGCGTTTACGGCGTCAGAGCCGCCGGTGGTCGAAGGGCTGAGCTCCATGGACACGCTGCGCGTTTCCACCGCGACCGCACTCCCATCCCTAGTGCGGACCCCGCTAAGAGCACCTTCGCTAGTGTCGCCGACTCTCGGCACAGTTCCCGGCCTTCCCCCGCGCCGCTGCGTCTCTGCCGCCATCCACCAATCAGACAGCAGCAGAGCGCCTTTCCACGAAGCTTCCGCGCTGCCGCAGCACCATGCCTCGTCCCCGCTCTCCCTCCCCCTCCCCCCTCGCAGCATCTGCCACGCGTCGAAAAGACCAATCACCAGACGACACGTGGCGACGAAAGACGCGGTGGAGGGAGGCGCACCAGAGCCCAAGGAGCAAGGCGCCAACGCCAGCGGCGGCGGCGGCGGCGGGAGCGGGGAGGAGAGTGACGAGGATGAGGAGGTGGCGACGTTGGTGCGAGGGATGACTTTCGCGCAGCTCTGCGACGACTTCCAGTGCGTGAGCAGCCCGGCCGTCGAGCGAACGGCGAAACGGTTGGCGAAAGACATTCACGACATGCGCGAAGACACGAGGACGCTGTCATGTTTCGCCAACGACTCGAAATACTCTGTAAGGCGATTCGAGGCGTCTCAAATCAAGGGTCAAGGTGGCACGTTAGAAATGGTACACGTGTCTCACGCCGAGATGAAGGGGGGGGGGGGGAGGGGGTGGGGGGGAAGGGTGGGCGGCCAGCATATCAATACAATTTCTTGAAAAAACTTTTTAAACGACCCCAATGTTCACCGATTACGAAAATTTCGGGATAAACATGTTGTCAAAGATTGCAACATTTTCGGGGTAGGTTAGCAACGCCGTTTCTCCTGGTTTTGATATTCCGTCAAATATTACTTCCTCGCCCCCTCTTCCCCCTCCCCGCGGCCACGTGTTCGATTCCTGAACCCCCTGCCCGCCTTGTCTGTTCCCATCTTTGCTCCCTCAGGATTCGATCCGCTCCTTCACAGGCCGAGACAAATATCGCCGCCTTTCGTGGATCCGCAGCGCGCTCCAGAACCCCTCCGTGGTGAGCAGTGGCCCCTGAGCCGACTCGAAATCCCCCCCCCTGGTGCGCGGCAGCAGGCTCTGTAGCAGCGCGCTTCGTAACTTCGTAGAGCAGTCTATTGCGTCTTTCACGCTGATGGTGCGCTGCCGATGTGGTGAGGCGACCCGGTTTTCACTACCTTGTTTATTTGCACGGGAATAGCAGCCAGGTCAGCAACACTTGTCGTGGGATTCGACGTCCAGCTCTGGTTGGTAGCATTAGTTAGGATTCGTAATGACTTTTGAGTCGACTCAAACGTCGGTTCGTAACGGGTTAGCTAAGTTAAACAGGTTACAGCGCGCGCAGCGGTTGCGGCAACTGAGCTTTGTACTGCCCGTCATCCCGCTTCTTCTCCCCTCGCCTTCGTCCCTCCGTCGTCGTCTTTATTTTCGTTATTCTCTCCTTCGTGATCCCCCGTTTTACTCACACGCCTTCGATTTCAGCACATGCTGGGCATGGCGATGGAATCCACGAGCGTCCTCGAGATCACCTGGCAGCTGCGCGGCTACCTCACCGTCCCAGGCGGGCTGCTTGACGCGCGAGTGACGTCGACGTTCACGCTCAACCAGATCAGCGGCCAGGTCACCGACCACCGCGACCAATGGGACGTCGCCAGCTCAGCGCTGCCCATCCAGCTGGCGTTCTGGGCGTCGCGGCTCGCGTGGGCGACGTCAGAGGCGATTAAAGACGTGACGGAGAAGTCGGAGGAGGGCGGGAAGAGCGGGGGCCGCGACTCGGGGTATATTTATCCGCACCCGTCTGGCGACCCTAGAAAAGTGCGTGAGGGGGTGTGCGTGTGGTGGGAAAGGGTGGGGTTGTAGGGGCTTTGGAACGGAGGGTTGAAATGCGCGCGAGTGAGGGGGGAAGCTGTGAGACGAGGAGGGATGCGGGAAGTGGGATGAAACCTTCAACACCACACACTCTAGTCCTTCTCACTTCTCCAGACAGTGAGCTGAGAGAATGACAACCGCACAAGCATCCAGCCAGCAGCACCCTGAATTCCCCGTCGTCTGTCACCCCTCCTCCCTCCCGCCTCCCCTGCTCATCGTCCTACCATCTCTCTGCCACCGTGCTTCGCGCCCTCAATCCCCTAGTATTCTTCGCACCATCTCCACCACCCACATCGTCCCATCACCCAGATAATTCCATCAGCCACGTCGTTCCCTCCCCACCATCTTGACCATCCAATCATCCCTATTATCCCAATCAACCGTTTCTCACCACTCTCCATGATTGCACTGCAGCTCATCTAGCAGGGCGACCGTAACAGGGGCCGTTACCAGGCAGCCTTCATATTGTATCCACTCTTGCCATCCCACCATCCACCCCACCATCCACCCCACCATCCACCCCACCATCCACCCCACCATCCACCCCACCATCCACCCCACCCATGGCCCTCAGTGCTGTTCGTCCAGCAGGGCGACCCCAGGGGGACCATCTACCATGCACCCTTCATGTTGCACCCTTCATGTTGCACCCTTCATGTTGCACCCTTCATGTTGGACCCTTCATGTTGCACCCATTCCCGCCATCCTATCCGCCCTCCCACATCCACCACATCATGTCTAGTTTTGAGGCGCCTCAAAGCCACCCTCCCGCATCCACCGCATGATGTGCAGCTGGTCCAGGCAGCCTTGTTCATCCAGAATTTCCTCATTGTCCCCCCCACCCCACCCCACCCCACCCCACCCCATCCCACCACTCCCACCAACCCCTATCACCCCACCGCTCCCCCCACCCCCATTAATACCGCAGTTCGTGCAGCAGGGCGACCCGAACAAGGACCTGTACCAGGCAGCCTTCTTCATCGCGCTGATGTACCTCGTGGTGCGCGCCGTGCAGCTCGCCATCTAAAGGACAGCACAGCCGTGCAGCCTGTCATCTGCAGGACAGCAGAGAGCCGCCTTGCAGCCCGTCGCCCAACGCAAAATGCGCAACGTGTAGTTTTGTCCAAGAGAAAGAGCGGTGCAGCTGGTTTCAATTCAAGTGCACTGTGGGTCTGCTTCTGCATGTCGTTTTCTGATGCGCCACCGACAAGTGTGTCCTGTGGTTTGGCTTCTCTATAAGACTGCCAGGATTGCAAGCACATACCTGTGGAGACCAGGCTCTCTGTCTCGGTGCGTGTGTGCATGAGTGTACATTCTTGACTCGGTAGTTCTTCCTGGATTTCGTTGACTAGCTTGTGAGTCTTGAGTTTTGCTAGTGTGAGTGACCTGCCCAATTGTGAAATATGTAATCCTTTCTTGGTGTGAAATTAAATCCCTGCACTGGATGGGTGGTTGCACCTTGTCCCTGTCCACCAAAGAATACCAGGTGACAGCCTGTGGTAATCCTGTCACGTCAGCCTTGCTGGAGAACAATAATGAAGAAACCAAGAGATCAGACACTATACACTGTGTGCACTGAACGTCCCCCATACTGTGCCTTTCTTGGGGACAATCCCTCACATGTAGCCTAGCCTCATGCCATGGTGTCATCCCTTCCCTTCTTGGCCATCCGTGCATAGGTCGCCTCTTGAAAGTTCTCGCTCACATACACCTCCACAAACCCGTTCCTCGCCAGCGCCCTCAAGCACGCGCCCTTCCTCGCTTTGGCATCCGTGACCATGCGATCATGAAACTCAATCAGAATCTGCCCAAACGGCAGCGGCGACCGCATGCGCAGCCACGCGTCGCACACGTCGAACTCCACGCCCTCCACGTCCATCTTGAGCACGTCCACGAATCCGTGCCCGTTGCCGCACATGAACGTGGGGAGTCGCAGCACGGGTGCCGGCATGCCCTGGGCCTCGAAGCGCCCGGAGAGCTTCTCGGGCTTGACGGCCGTCATGGACTGGACTCGGGGGTTCTTGGAGTGGAAGAACGTCACTATGCCGTCCATGCCCGCCAGACCGAGCTGCCGGAATTGGAAGGCCGAGGGCTGGTCGCGGTTGTGGTGGTCCTTGAACATGGCTTGCACGCGCTCTGGGGGGACGGTTGGGTCGAAGCCGAAGACCTGGAGGGAGAGGGAGCGACAGAGGGGAGAAAGGGGAACAAAAAGGCAGGTGTGGGTTGAAGGAGAGATGAGTGAGTGACAGGCCACCACTACTCGCCGTTGTGGTCTACATCAATGCGCACACTAGAGGTGATTTTTGAGGGGGGGGAAGGGTGAGAGGTGGGGGGTTGGAAGAGTCTGCTTTTGAGTCGACTCAAAAGCAGACCACTACTCGCCGTTGTGATCTACACCAATGCGCACACTTGAGGTGATTTTATAGTCGACTAAAAAATCTCCGTTGTGGTCTACACAAATGCGCACACTAGAAGGGGGAGGGGGGGAGGGGGAGAGGTGGGGGGTCGGAGGAGGGATGGGAGAAGGGAAAGCGCAGCAGAAAAAAACAGGGCACCTGTTCAAAACGGCAGGGTGGGAGTCAGGGTAGAGGCTAGATGCCGAAACACAACCTATTCTCGTGTACCATGCCCACTCCTTCTCCTCCCTTCTGTATACTCATATCCCCACATTGCATGCAAGAAGATGCAGCAAATGGTGCTCTCTTGACCTAGCTGCACCGCACAGAACCTATGAGAACTGCACTAGCTGCATGTGGTGGCTATCAAACGCACTCGAACGAAGTGGCTTTTGAGTCGACTCATATGTAAGAATGAGTTGAGTTGACCACCGGACACACTGCAAAGACGTACGCACCTTGTGGCCACGGTTCACCATCCCGTTGTCAAATGACACGTCAGCGCCGATGCCAAACGAGTACACCACGCCACCTGGCCGCACATGATTGGTGCAGAGGCTCCACGCACCGTAGTCGTCGCCCCCCCGCCCCCCCACCTTCTCCAGCTTGCAGGTGTCGTGCGCCACCAGGTGCAGCTGCGACTCGTCCATCCTGGCAGAAAAAGGGGGCGTCTCGGGGGGGACAGATACAAAAGAGCGTTACTGACGGGGACAGAGGAGAAAGGTGCAGATGGGTGCAGATGGGTGCGAGGACGGGAAGGGACGACAGCATGCGTTGACAGGAGGCACGGGGGGGTTGAGCGTGATGACGTGACAGACGCAACTGGTTGCAGAGAAGGGACGTGGGGGGGGGAGAAGGTGGGAGGGGGAGAAGGTGGGAGGGGGAGAAGGTGGGGGGGGGAGAAGGTGGGGGGGGGAGAAGGTGGGGGGGGGAGAAGGTGGGAGGGGGAGAAGGTGGGGGGGGAGGGGGGGGAGAAGGTGGGAGGGGGAGAAGGTGGGAGGGGAGAAGGTGGGAGGGGGAGAAGGTGGGAGGGGGAGAAGGTGGGAGGGGGAGAAGGTGGGGGGGGAGAAGGTGGGGGGGGGGAAGGTGGGGGGGAGAAGGTGGGGGGGGGAGAAGGTGGGAGGGGGAGAAGGTGGGAGGGGAGAAGGTGGGGGGGGAGAAGGTGGGAGGGGGGAGAAGGGGGGGGGGAGAAGGTGGGAGGGGGAGAAGGTGGGAGGGGGGAGAAGGTGGGAGGGGGAGAAGGTGGGAGGGGGAGAAGGTGGGAGGGGAGAAGGTGGGAGGGGGAGAAGGTGGGAGGGGGAGAAGGTGGGAGGGGGAGAAGGTGGGAGGGGGAGAAGGTGGGAGGGGGAGAAGGTGGGAGGGGGGGAGAAGGTGGGAGGGGGAGAAGGTGGGAGGGGGAGAAGGTGGGGGGGGAGAAGGTGGGAGGGGGAGAAGGTGGGAGGGGGAGAAGGTGGGAGGGGAGAAGGTGGGGGGGGAGAAGGTGGGAGGGGGAGAAGGTGGGAGGGGGAGAAGGTGGGAGGGGGAGAAGGTGGGAGGGGGAGAAGGTGGGAGGGGGAGAAGGTGGGAGGGGGAGAAGGTGGGAGGGGGAGAAGGTGGGAGGGGGAGAAGGTGGGAGGGGGAGAAGGTGGGAGGGGGAGAAGGTGGGAGGGGAGAAGGTGGGAGGGGGAGAAGGTGGGAGGGGAGAAGGTGGGAGGGGAGAAGGTGGGAGGGGGAGAAGGTGGGAGGGGGAGAAGGTGGGAGGGGGAGAAGGTGGGAGGGGGAGAAGGTGGGAGGGGGAGAAGGTGGGAGGGGGAGAAGGTGGGAGGGGGAGAAGGTGGGAGGGGGAGAAGGTGGGGGGGGAGAAGGTGGGAGGGGGAGAAGGTGGGAGGGGGAGAAGGTGGGAGGGGGAGAAGGTGGGAGGGGGAGAAGGTGGGAGGGGGAGAAGGTGGGAGGGGGAGAAGGTGGGAGGGGGAGAAGGTGGGAGGGGGAGAAGGTGGGAGGGGGAGAAGGTGGGAGGGGGAGAAGGTGGGAGGGGAGAAGGTGGGAGGGGGAGAAGGTGGGAGGGGGAGAAGGTGGGAGGGGGAGAAGGTGGGGGGGAGAAGGTGGGAGGGGGAGAAGGTGGGAGGGGGAGAAGGTGGAGGGGGAGAAGGTGGGAGGGGGAGAAGGTGGGAGGGGGAGAAGGTGGGAGGGGGAGAAGGTGGGAGGGGGAGAAGGTGGGAGGGGGAGAAGGTGAGGGGGAGAAGGTGGGAGGGGGAGAAGGTGGGAGGGGGAGAAGGTGGGAGGGGGAGAAGGTGGGGGGGGGGGAGAAGGTGGGAGGGGGGAGAAGGTGGGAGGGGGAGAAGGTGGGGGGGGAGAAGGTGGGAGGGGGAGAAGGTGGGAGGGGGAGAAGGTGGGGGGGGGGAGAAGGTGGGGAGTGGTAATGAAGGAGGGTTGAGGCCGGTGAGGACAGAGTGATGGCGATGGTGATGGGGATGGGGATGGCGATGGGGATGGGGATGGGGATGGTGATGGCGATGGGGATGGGGATGGGGATGGGGATGGCGATGGCAATGGGGATGGGGATGGCGATGGGGATGGTGATGGCGATGGGGATGGGGATGGGGATGGGGATGGGGATGGGGATGGGGATGGGGATGGGGATGGGGATGGCGATGGCAATGGGGATGGGGATGGCGATGGGGATGGCGATGGCGATGGGGATGGGGATGGCGATGGGGATGGGGATGGGGATGGCGATGGCGATGGGGATGGGGATGGCGATGGGGATGGCGATGGGGATGGCGATGGGGATGGCGATGGGGATGGCGATGGGGATGGCGATGGCGATGGCGATGGGGATGGGGATGGCGATGGGGAGGGAAGGGGTGGCGGGGAGGAAAGGGCGCGGAAGAGAGGAGGAAACACAGCAGTTTTGACGCGCCTCAAAACAGGGGCCAGCGCGGTAGAAGCACATCACTCCATGCAATGCGGTCCAACGGACCGCTTTTGAGTCCACTCAAAAGCAGACATCACTCCATGCGATGCAGTCCACTGGACCGGAGCAGGACTTTCGGACATTCTTCCAGTGAGCGCCGCGCAGCCGTACAACCCTACGACAGGGGAGCATTCAATCCTACGACTGCGCGGCGCTCACTGGAAGAATGTCCTACGAGCAGGACTGGTTTGCTAGGGTCAAACAAGGCGCTTCAGCTGGAGCATACCCAGCGAACGCTTGCGGATAAGGCTCCATTTTGGATGCCTTGTGCTCGTTCCGTTGCTGCTGACGTGGCTCGCCTTGATTGACCAGCTGACCAGCCTGCTCCTGCTTATTCTTTCGCTCCTCCTGCTCCAATTGTTGTTGCTGCTGCTGCTGCTGGTAATCTTGTGAAATTTTTGAATCCTGCCCGTGTTGCCAGGAGGTCTCCAGCTGCCCGTGGTGCGGAATCTCCCCCCCTCGACCATCACCCTGCCACCCGTACGAATCCCCGTTCGCATCACCGCCGCGCTGCTGCTGAGATGCAACGCCGGAACCGTACGAGCCCTGGCCCTGCTGCTGCTGCTGCTGAGATGTAACGCCGGAACTACTGTACTGAAGCCCGGCTGCTGCGTACGCTTGGCGGCACTTGCAGCCGAGCTCGTACTGGCGGAAGATGTACAGCTGCGTCGCGAGGCCGAGCACGCACAGGATGTGCCATGGCTTGATCTGCGCCGTGAAGTAGTTCATCGGCGATAGCGACGTCGGCGTCGCGGATCGCACGTGTAACGGTCTGCGAATGAGGTTTTGATGGCCGCGATGCCATGATGACGATGATGACGACATTGATGGAGCTGACGTGCGGCGAAACTTCCGGCTTTCGTATTATCTGGAATATAACATTTGAAAGGCCATTCGTTCTACTAGTCTTGATCAGATTCCGGCATCCTAAAAAACGGTTCTAAGCTTCAAACAAAAATTGGCGTGGTAAAAAACCGGAAGCGTTTTTGCGAATGGTAACGGCAAAATTGAAAATAGTAGGTGGGACTGCTACAAAGCTTTGGAGCTTTGCACCTGCGTCGCGTCGGAATCGATCCAAGTGTCAAGTTCAGGGAGCGTTCCGTCGGTTCAACCAGATTCTGTCGTAACACCCAAAAAGAGGACTCGGGGCCCGTTCCTGAGAATGCCATCGGCGGCCCGCGACAAGGGCCATAGAACGAATCGAATAAGATCATATTCTGAAGTTGGGCCGACGAACAAAGTTTTCCCATGCGGCTCGAAATGTCTAAAATTGGGAATGCAATGTTGGGCTGTGCGCTTCGGCTTTTGCCGAAACCAAAAGTTTCGCCAACGTGCCCTGCGACGTGGGCGCACGACCAACGTGATCAACACGTCCGGCGAAAATTGGTACTGTGGGTGAATGCGCCTCGACTGAACGTGAGCCACGTTTGCAAAACAGACGGCCCAGTGGCACGGTTACCGCATCAGCTGCCCGTAACAGCACACAAACAAACGAGGCACGAAACGAATAACGGGCAGAACTTCCTGGACCCCAATATCGCCTCTTTAGCCATATAACAGCAACATCGCAACGCGTTGGGTACAGTTTAGCAGTGCAGGTTCGAAGGTCCTATTCCGCCATGGCTCACACTCTAGCAACTGCCGCAGCAGCAGTAGCCGCGTTCATGGAATGTCAGCGCCTCGACGACGATGTCACAGACATAATTGTAGCTCAGCTCGTAGTGGAAGCCCTCGATGCGATCGGCGTGGAATATGCGCTTAAACGCGCGGAGACCCGACGCGCTTGCCATAAGCGCTATGCAGAGTACAGACGTGAGCGGATCCAGTGGTGGCTGGACCGCATCGACGATTTCGACGATGCTGAGTTTGAGGACCTTTTCCGAATCGACCGAGACATACTAGAACACTTGAAGGAGGGCATGGCAAATGATTACCACAACATCATCGTCTCTCATGGCGTGCCTTTACCACTGTGTATTCTGATACTGATAAAGTATTTAGCGACGGGGATGACCTATCTGGATATGAGTCTTTACTTCGGGGTGCCGAAGACAGTTTGTCACTGCATCGTTGACCGCTTCCTACTTTCTTTCCCGAAACGTTACAAAGAAGCCTGGGTTCAATTCCCATCACGAGAAGAAATGGCCGAGATGGCGCTGGATTTCCGCGCCTGCAGAGGGATACCCAACGTCATAGGGGCTGTAGACGGCACGCACTTACAAGTCCGCGGCATCCACGAATGGCGCTCGGAGTACTATTGTCGGAAACAAATGTACTCCGTGCAATTACAGTTGACCGTGGACTCCAAGTGCCGTATTTGGGACTATGTCGTCGGATGGCCAGGGTCCGCACACGATGCAAGGGTCTTTACCAAGAGTGCTCTTTATGCACGCATGGAAAATGGCGAGATTATGCCATACCAAGTGTTGGGTGACGCGGCATACCCTTTGAAGGATTTCTGTTTAGTTCCGATACACGCAAGCAAGGCTAGAATATTGCTAGGATGGGAGCAGAGTTTTAATTACGTGCAATCATCAACGCGGATGGCAGTGGAGCGGACCATGGGGTTATTCAAAAACAGATTTCGGATCTTCGGAGGATGTCACGGGGGGCGGCTTTGGCGGGTGTGCGCGAGAGCTGGATGTGCAGTGGTTCTACATAACATGATAGAGTACCAAGCCTCCGCTAAAAGACAATCACGCGGACAGTGGAGAGATGGCACGGCTAGAGAATTGAACAGGTGGTGGGAGAGGCGGGGTATGGCGGAGTACGTATGGCAGCCCACTCCTGTGCCCAACCGCGAGGCAGTGGTCGCGCGTCGCCGGGACTTCGGCACACACATCCACGCCGCATGGCTCATGCGGCATGGTGAAGATGGCCATCAAATGGGGGGGCAATGAAATACCAATTTCCATCTGCCCCCATGACAACCGTCGCGGTCGTGCGTGCCGCCGGCGCGGAATCAAGGTGCGATTGGCGCGCCGGCCCGCCACCCTCGTCCGTAGAGTGTGCTGGCGCCGCGACGTGCGCGACATGTACAGCATCGGGAGCGGGAAACGGGAGGACCGATGCGTGAATTGGCGCATTCTGCGAAGGAACCGCACTGACGTCACGTTTCGGCGAGCCACCGGATGGAAACCATGCAAGGTACACTGAAGCAAAGCCGGCACCGTGTGGCGCACCATGCTGAAATCCAGATGGCATGGTGCTTCCGTCGATGTGACGGCCACCAGGCGAGGCTGTCCCACTGCGGGTTCCAGCCGTTGGAGCCCGCAGTGGGACAGGTGCTGGCGCGGCTCCGGCCGCCTGGGTGAGGAGCTCCATAACAGAAACGAGCTTCCCCATGACGACTTCTTGGCGCGCTGTACGCTCTTCCATCACACGGGTGAGCGTATCGGCTACGACCTGATGAACGTCGTTTCTCGGCGGCTCTACGGCGTGACTATTTTGCGCGATGTTTCCAGGTGAAACCGTCGAGCCTGATGGGAGTGTGGGAGTTGGGGTAGTGTGGGTTAGTTGAGGTTATGTCTCAACGTTCGTTTGTGCCCTGTTCTGTAATAAGGCCCCGTGTCTTGAGTGCGTGATCGAAAGTTTGTTCAATGACTCGGGGTTCCCGTACATTGAATTTGTGTGGGGTTTCCGTACGTGGCGCGGTAGTTCCGGGGGGTGCGGTAGAAGGTGCGGACCGCGTGCCGTGCGCCGTCCGCGGCGTCGCGTGCTCAGTGCGCGCACCACCTTCGTCGACGACATGGGGGTTCGGAGCGCGGTCGCAATTCCAGTAATTCCATGCATGCTGGTACCACTCCGGCTTGGGCATCGGGTTGTTACCGGACTTGGAATCTGCCTCCTCGATTTCATCCAGTCGACTCTTGAGGCGCGCCCAACATTTCTGCATGGCGTAACTAGGACGGCACCAGTTGGGATTCGCCTCGCGCAGCACGCGGCGTAGCTTCTTCCATGGCTGCCCTCCCTACTTGCCCCTCAGCGTGTCGAAGTCTTCTTTCGCTGCCCACATTGCCGCCACAAGCTCTGCAAGCTCGTCCTCCTCCCAATATCGACTCGCTTGTCTCGCGCCGGACACCTTCCCCTTGCCCCTCCTGTTTGCACCGTCTGCAGGTGTTTCGGTGTCCTCGTCGCCATCGTCGTCCACTTGGTCGGCAGCGGTGTAGCCGTCGGAGTCACAATAGCGCTCGTCTTCGGGGTTGATAGTGTCCGCATCGAGCTCGGACCCGCAGCCGTATTCGCCCGCGCCGTCGTTGCCATGGCCATTCGTCGACGCAGCAAGCCCATTCTTCCGTTTCCCTCCTCTCCTAGCGGGCAAGTCCGTGACGCCGACTAGGCGGATCCGCTTGATGCCATTTGCCTCGAGATCCGTCAGGTACTGGAGAAAGGGTGGTGTCGGGCGCGGTGCCGCCTCGACCTCCGAGATTCCCTTGCGTTTCTCTGTCTGGCCCTTGTTTTTCCGCCCCATGGTGTAGGAGTGCAGCGGGGAGGAACCTGTAGCTTGTTTTCAGAAACTAGAAGTAGTCATGCTGCAGTCGTAGTCTGCTAAACGCCTTTTTGTATTGCTTGTTCGTCTGTACGAAAGGTTGTCGAATTGGGTAGGAGAAGTGGCACTCGACGATTTACGGCGCTGTGCGCGTTTGGTATGTTTTGGGCTCTTGGCGGGTTTTTTTGTACCAGTGTTGTTGCAAATTTCGACCGACAGGTTGCAGACGCGCATCCGGTACATTTTTCAGGTCGCCTATGGGTCGCAGCCCGTTGTGCGCGCTTCCCAGTTGGCCGCGAAGTTTTGCAGGTCGCATTTTCGCGGCTTGTTTTCGCAAGCCTTATCGCGAGCGTTTCGCAGCAAGGATGGTATCCACCACAGTTTCCCGAGTCGCATGGGAAAACTTGGTGCCGAAGGGAAAACTTCGTCGTCGGCCCAACTTCAGAATTCGATCTAAGGCACTTCCTGAGAAAACCGTTCCTTGCAAGCTGCAATTCGCCATGATGAAGGGCAACTTACGGGTACTTCACCAACTCACCCTGCATTTGATTGATTTACCCTGCACATACCCATTGAACGGCCAGTGATTCTATCCTTATTTCAACAAACAATAATCAGCGTGCCATGCACTACTATATCATCTGCTCCACTTGCACCTTCTGCTCTATCCCTTGGCTCCGCCCAAAATTCAAGCTGGCAAACCTAGTTTGACGAGAGTGCACAGAACGCTACTGAGACTAGACCATTAAGAATATATATCCGATTCCACGAACCGATGACCTGCTTGACCAGCTTCGGAGAGCCACGGTATTTTCCAAACTGGATTTGCGGTCCGGATACTGGCAGATAAGAATGGCGAACAACTCCATCAACAAAACCGCCTTCTGTACTCGTTACGGGTCATACGAGTATCTGGTCATGCCGTTCAGACTCACCAACGCACCGGCAACCTTCAAAGCCGATATGAACCACATTCTACGCCCACTCTTGGACGAATGCGTCGTGGTTTATCTAGACAACATTCTCATATACTCACGTGATATGAAGCAGCACGTCGAACGCTTGCGACTCGTCTTCGACGAGAACGCTTCTACGTCAAGTTATCCAAGAGTGAATTCACCCTCAAGATTGTCCAATTCCTAGGACACATGGTGAGCGCTCAAGAAGTTCACGTCGACCCAAGGAAGATCGAAGCCATATGCACATGGAAGACGGCAGAGAATGTGAAGGAGTTGCAACAGTTCCTAGGCTCCACCAACTTTTACAACAAGTTCGTGCCACAATACACGAAAATCGCCGCACCATTCACGAATCTGTTGAAGAAGAACACACCCTACCAATGGGAATCAAACCATCAAGAAGCCGTGGAGCAGCTAATACATGCACTTACGTCTGCACCAGTACTCATCTTGCCAGATCCCGAACACGACTACGTTATCGAAGCTGACGTCAGTGACCAGGCAGTGAGAGCAGTCTTGATGCAAGACCAGGGGAATGGACTGCAACCAATCGCCTACCTTAGCAAGAAAGTATACAGGGCAGAAATAAATTATCTGATACACGACAAAGATGCCCCTCCTATTATCATTGCCTTTAAAACATGGAGATGTTATCTTGAACGAAGAAAAACAGCCGTCTACATCGATCACTATAGCCGGAAACATTTGAAGACACTGCCAAATCTCTCCAGGCGATAGGCTCTCAGTCAACCTGCACACGTCGCCGCTATCCAAGTGGAAGGGATGAACCCACTACTCAAGGGTACACGGGTACATCATCGAGCCCGAGATTCCTTTGGCAGAGAAGTGAAATCTACTACAGTGGGACAGTGACATCGCGTACCGGAAAGGATCAACGAAAATCTGGGTACCGAACTACCCACCTTTACGCCAGTTACTACTCGAAGAATACCACGATGTCCTGTACGCCAGACAATTTGGTAACAATAAAACACTCACCGGTATTGTAAAGCACTATTACTGGCCCCACATGACAGACGACGTACAGAAATTCGTCAACTCATGCGACACGTGTCAACGGATGAAGAGCAATAAGCAGAAGAAATCAGGACTACTACAGCCTCTTCCTGTCCTAGAACAGCCATGGCAAGTGGTTAGCCTAGACTTCATAACCGGGTTACCAACTACCACCAACGATCATGACGCCCTCCTTGTCGTCATCCACAAATCTTCCAATATGGGACATTTCATCCCGACACACACGACGGCACGCACCAAGGAGACGGCCCGATTGTTCCTTCGCTACATCATCTTCCAGCATGGCAATCCAACCACACTCAACTCCGACTAAAATCCTAAGTTCACCAACAAGTTCTGGAAGGAACTGATGTCTCTGCTCGGGACCATAGTCGCCATGTCATCTGCATACTATCCGCAGACGGACGGACAAACCGAATGCCTCAACCGAATTGTAGAGCAACTCCTCCGCGCAGCATGCAAGGACGTCATCTCCAAGTTTGACTTGCACCTACCCGTCCTGGAGTTTGCCTAAAACAACGCCACCCACACTGCAACCGGACAGACACCATTCTTCCTCTATCACGGTCTCAACCCCCTTAAACCATAGAAACCGACAGTTAACTAGAATGAATGATTGAATACAAGTGGAACAAGGGAGATATATGTGTTCTAGTTGTACCCTCTAACAACATACAACTATCTAGCCTATAACTTCTACATAGTAATATATGTATAAGTTGACACACCCCCTAGGCTAGATAAGGGGTAGTGCAGAGCAAGAAACACACAACTCAGGGTGGCACTACTAGTCCAACCTCTGAGGAAGGGGTCCAAAGAGCAGTTAGCAAGGGTACAAAAAAGACAAGAGCAAACCAGGGCGGCACTACTAGTCCGACCACTGGGAGAATAGCCACAAGGCCAGTCTGAAAGGTATAGATATAGAGGAGTACAAAATCAAGGACCTAGCAAGTGAGAGTCTACATGAACTAGACCTAGCTGCAAGCAGTGCCGCTGATGATCTTTAGGCGCAAGCGCCTTAGTAAAGATATCAGCTGTGTTGGCACCGGAGGCCAAGTGTACTACGCGGGCCTGGCGACGCTGTTGAAGCTCGTGCAGGAGGAAGTACCATAGCTGGATCTGCTTCGCTCTACCCTCAAGTCGAGGCTCCTGACACAGGAAAATCATGGCCCTGTTGTCAGCGCACAAGACCGGGGCAGAGCTAGGCCACTCACCTAAGTCGGCGAGCAAGAAGGTCAGCCACTGGAGCTCCTGTGCCATCGTGGCACCAGCGTAGATCTCGGCCTCTCAGATAGACGGGGCAACAGACGAGGAGCGAGTGGACCACAACGAGATGGCACCAGAACCAAGGCTAAAGCAGTAGCCCTGGGAGGACCTGAGGGTCTCAGCGTCGTCTGCCCAAGAAGCGTCTGTGTGCCCAATAAGGACCACTGGCCTGCGTCCTCCTAGCACTAGCCCCATGCCCGATGTACTTGCAAGATAACGCAAAACCCTCTTAGCTGCCGACCAGTTTTGTGGTCGGTGTCTGCCGGTGGCCACAAAGTGAGCCAGGATACTGAGAGGGTATGCGAGATCTGGACGAGTGCAAGTCACCAGGTACATGAGGCAACCCACCAGCTGTGCGTAAGGACCACTGGGCTCTACTGACTCCTCGAGAAATGGAGCAAAGGGCCTGTGGTCTACTGGCAGAGGTGTAGGTTGCGCAGAGGAGAACTGAAGACCGAACCTCTGAAGGACCTGTCACACCAAGAGTGAATGTGTAAGAGTGATGGTGCCCGCTGCTTTGTCCTTGGAGATCTGTAGGCCAAGGTAGCGGCGCAGCTCTCCCATGTCAATGCAGGTGTGTCTCCTCAGCAGCTTAGCCTTCACACAGGCCAGTGCGTCTCTATCTGCTGTAGCGAAGACCAGGTCACCTACGTAGACAAGAATGTAGAACGGAGTCTGGCCAGCACGAACGCAGAGCGAAGGGTCTGCAGCGGACGGAAAGAACTGCAGGCCAGCTAGCGTAGCACACCGTGTGTCGTGCCACTCACGGGGCGCCTGTCGCAGGCTGTAGACCGGGCGTCGGAGGAGCCACTCGGTCCCAGGAGGGAAGCTACCGGTGAAGCCCTAAGGATGGCACAGGTAGACCTGCTCGTGTAGACTGCCCTGAAGAAAAGCAGTGGGGAAGTCGAGGGAGTGAAGCTCGTAGTCACGGTGTGCTGCTACGTGTAGCGGTGCCCGAAGAGTAGTCATCTTCGGGGTCGGGGCGAAGGTCTGAAAGAAGTCCACCTCTTCTCGCTGACTGAAGCCTCTAGCCATGTAGGGTGCCTTGAACACAGGCGGCTCTCCAGGGGGGCGCTTCACCTTGAAGTGCCACCGGCCATCGACTACGTTCACCCCAGGTAGGGGAACTGCGTCGACGTAGGTGCATGTGGATCTCCAAGATGCCATCTCCTGATCCATGGCAGCTATCCACTGAGAGGCCCAGCCTCAGCGTAGGTGCGAGGGGCTGGGATGTCAAAGGCGTCTGGGTCACCCTCAGGGACTAGCAGCATGGAACAGAGATGGCGAGCAGCCTCCGACAGGAAAGTAAGCTCGTACTGCCTGTCCTCTATGATGTCATTGCCAAGGCCAGGAGCACCCCCGACGGACGGAGGATAGGCAGGGACAGAGACCAGAGCAATGGCGTAGTCAAGGCGGCGGGTAGAGGCAAAGTCAGCGACAAGAGCGTCAAGACTCGAGAGAGGAACAGACGGGTCGGTAACGAGGGAGGCAAGGACTCGAGGAACAAGATGATGAGCAGCACGAAGGTAGTCAGACAGAGGGGGAGGCGAAGGCAGGAGGGGAGGACGTGACGAACATGGGGTGCGAACGCTGAACAGAAGAGACTGGACGAGCACGAGAGGGACGGCGAGACCAGACGTGACACGGAGGCGTCCAGTTAGGAGACAAAGGAGGAGAGACAAGAGGGGAACGAGGTGGGAAACGGGCCGGGGACGAGTCCGGCGGAGGAAACACAGGACCGTGAACAGGAAGAGGAGGAGGCGGTGGGGGAGGCATGGGCGAGCGGTCGGGGGAGGGAAGGCCGAGCAGGCGAAGGGCAGACACCGGCGGCGACTACGGCTGCTGCTGCTCGACGCTGACACCTGGACCACCAGTTGCACCCCGGTCACCTCCGGAACACTCCACTCCAGTACCCCCGGAACAAACACCCCCAGAGCGAGAACCCTCTCCAGCACCGTTGCCACCCCATAGCCCGCCGGGACAAGAAACGACATGAACCCCTGGTCTAGCACCCTCCTCAACGCCTGCACCCCCAGAGTCCATGAACGGCTGCGGCTGCTGCAGCAGCGTCGGCGTCGGAGTGATGTGAGACATGAACGTGAGCGAGGCAGCCCCAAACGTGGAACACACACGCGGCACGAACCCGGTCCAAAGAAGGGTCGGCGAAACTTGCGGCCGCTGGGAGCGCGACCAGAGGTTAAGCTGGTGAGCGGCGTAGCGAACGGCGAACTGCCACAGAAAATGGGGTGCGTCAGCATGGATCATGGAGGTACGAGCCACCTCCATGACCAAACCGATGCGTTGCTCGGCGATCCCATTTTGTTTCACGGAGTCCGGTAGGGTGTACGTCTGGGTGATGCCCTCCGCACGACAGAACTGACCAAGCCGACCAGAGGCGAACTCGCCGCCACGGTCGGAGTGGAGGCACAGCACAGGGAGACCGCGGTGGAGGCGCACAGCTACAACCCACGGGATAAGAACGTCAGGCACGTCGGCCTTCCGCTGCAGGGGAAACATCGTGGTGTAGCGCAAGAAGTCGTCGATGAGCACGAGAAAGTAGCGGTTGCGACGCGGCTCTGGGACTGGGGCTGGGCCCCAGACGTCCAAGTGCACGGTCTGGAGGGGTGCAGTGGCAGGGCGAAGCGAGGAAGCGTGAGGAGCACGGCGCAGCCGGCCCTCGACGCAGGGCGTGTTCGGAGGCGCAGGCGAGGGGGGTAGGGCAGGGAGCGACGTAGGGAGGCCTAGGACGAGACCGTGCTGGGACATGTGACGCAGACGCGGGAGTGCGGGGTGACCTAGGCGGTGGTGCCACAGAAGCGACGGGTGAGTGAGCAACCGACACGAGCAAGCCACAGCAACCTGGGTAGACGCGGGACCTGGGGAGGACG